ACAAAGAAGTTGGAGCCGATGTTATTTCTCTTTATTGATGTCAATAGATTTGATTCGGTCTTTTCAAATTTTAGTTTCTTTTATTCATTGTCTTTCTATTCTTACTCATTTAAGATGATTTATTTTAGGTGCTCAATGAATAAGATTCAAGTAAATGAAGTCCTTAGAGTAAGTTGTTTGATTATAGCTCATTGGGAAAGTAATGATGAAGACATTAGGTTACGATAGTTTTTCCAACGAAAGTTTGAACTACATATCTGTGCAAAAGTCATAGAGTTGGGTTCTCATCATGAGGCACATTCATAATGGAACTTTTGAGAAGTCTTCAGGATTTGTGTCTCTTTTAAAGTTCGACATTGCTCAAATTATAGATAATCATTAGTGCTAAGTGTGTAAGCACAATGCATATGAAGAAATAGAATCAGAAGTTTTCTTATCTTTGTTAGAAAATATAAAATGACAAATATTCTCTAAGTTAGATTATGTAAATTAAATGTTTACAAGCATCCATGATTACGTTACAAGTGCCGTTATAGGTCTTATAAGCTTCTATGAGAACGACATAAGTGATGTTATTGAACTTATAAGCGTCCATGAGAACGACACGAGTGCCGTTATTGAAATGAAAAAGTTCTTGAGAACAACACAAATGTCGTTATCGACTTATAAGAGTTCATTATATCATTTCAATAGTTCTTTGTCACATGTCCATTGCTTGAGGTCGTTATGTTAGAAACAAATCAAAATATAGGAGAAAATAACAGAACACCACAAGTGTCGTTCCATAGAAGAAAATGACCCTTGTGTCGTTCTATTTGTAAACACGGTTATAAGCAGCAACTGAAATAAAAACGGCCCTTGTGCCATTTTATCTATAAACACGAGAATGGTCCTTGTATCGTTCTGAGATGAGAACGTCTATTAAAACGGTGCAATTATCGTTATGTTTGTAAATGTGTTCATGAGAATGGTATTTGTGTCGTTAATGAGATGAGAACGTCTATTATAACAGTATGACTGTCATTATGTTTGTAAATATACTTGTCCATAGAATGACACTTGTGCTGTTATTAAATTGAAAAGAGAACGGTACAAGTGTCATTTAGGGGATGAAAAGGTCCTTGAGAATGGTACTTGTTTAATTACTGAGATGAAAAGTTCTAAAAGAACGATACAAGTGTTGTTATCGAAATATAACTTGTCCATGAGAACGGTACTTGTGCAGTTACTGTAAAGAAAACGAAACTTGTATCGTTCTATCCATAAACATGACTATAAGCATACACGACCCATCCATACCAAAAGAATCAATTACTTGTCTAAGAGAATGACACTTATGCATTTATGCTAGAACGATATAACTTTGATCCGTAGATTCAGTTAAATGTTATTGTAGTTACAGTTTTGATACCCTTAATTTAAAGATCTACGAGAACGACACAAGTGATGACATAAATGACACAAACATGTTCATGAGAACACATAAATGCAGTTAATGTGAAGAAAATGATACTTGTGTCGATAGTGGGATGACAACATTTACTAAAACGGTATGACTGTCGTTATATTTGTAAATAAAAGTCCATGAAAATGCCGTTACTGAGTTATGAAAAGAACAACGTGAACAACAAATTGCCGTAAACGTGTAAATAACAACACTTGTGAAGTTAGTGATATGAGTACGTCTACTAAAACGGTAGAACTGTCGTTATGTTTGTAAATCAAACTCCATAAAAACAACAATTGTGTCGTTACTATATATAAAATGATACTTGTGCTGTTCTACTTATAAACACGAGTATAAAGAGTAACGACATTTTCAACACCCCGATAATCGATAAGATGAACTAATTTAAGTTGCAGAATGGACAAGCTGTTTACAACATTGTAGAGAAAAGTTCATTACTTACACTTTCTAAAGAGTGTCGAACAAGACATGTGATTTCACCGTTGGATACCTTATATGTCAATTCTACCATTATTTGTCACATAAATCAACATTTCCCACCTTCTTAAGTTATGGGGTCCAATGTTTGAGGTCGTTCCGTTAGAAAAAAACAAAATATTGGAGAAATCAACAGAACGGTACAAGTGTTTAACTACACTTGTGTCGTTCTATCAATAAACAAACTCCTAAACAG